TTGAAAGCTTCAACTTTTGATTTAGGTTTTGCAGAGCTTTATTATTACTGTTTGATCAAGAAAATGACCCAGTCTCTTAAAGTTTGGACTGACGATACCAACAAATGGAGGGAATTAGGTGTTCACGAGTTGGATTGAGTCGGATAGGGGTGTTTTTGGATCCAACCCGAATTTTTGGGTTGGAAATTTGTGGGAACCGTCGGATTGTAAAACGATGGCAACCCAACCCAACTCAAACCCAATAAATTCGGGTTGAGTCGGGTTGGGTTGCCGGGTTTTTTTTTTTAAATGATTAATTAATTTACTTTTGTTTTGTTTATAACATTGACCAAAAAAATATAGAAAAATCAAAATCTTAATTTAAGCACAAATTCAAATCCTAATTGAAACCAACATGTAAGTCCTAATTTAATACAAATTTTAAAATTTTACATTATCTAAAGTTTATCTAAAGTCTAAATCTAAATTGAAACCAACATGTAAGCCCTAATTCAACAATATTAAAAGCTTACACCTTATTGTAGAGAGAGATGAGGGGGAGGAAGATGAAATTGAAAATGTTAGAAAAGAAAGAGAATCAAATATTCAAAATAGGGAGAATTGAATTGAAACCTAAGATCAATGGTTGAGATTTAATGAAATTGATGGATGAGATTGAATATAAAAAATAAGATTTTAATTAATAATTAATAATTTATTATATATATGTAATATTAGATTATTAGTAAAAAAAAAACTATAATTTCGAGTCTGGTTGGGTTGACCCGGGATTTTCAAGGGTCAACCCGAGACCCGACCCAACCCGGTTAGGTTGGAATTTTTCCAATGCAACCCAACCCAATGTTAGATTCAACCCAACCCAACCCGGGTTCGTCGGATTGTCGGGTTCCTTGAACACCCCTAGAGGGAACTGTAAAATAGAACTAATATTCGGATGCTCTAATCAATATTTATTCGATTTATACTCAAAAGAGAATATAGTTTTGTGTACGTTAAGTGAGAGGTTAGGATCTCTATTTATAGAGGTAAGCTCTTGACAGGACTTTCGACAACGCTCCAACCGCTCGAGAATCGCGGTACCTTGTCAAATGTTGCATTTGATGCCTTGTGCCTACAGGTGCTCAAGGTCGGCTCATCCTTTGCGAAGGTAGGTCAAGGGGTGAAATATGACTTGGTTCGGCTTGACTTAGCGAACTGCTTGGAGTTATCCGAATGATAAGAATCATCTAGTTCTTCTCTTCATCAGGGGGTTGAAATATGACTTGGCGAACGGCTTGGAGTTATCCAAATGATAAGAATCATCTAGTTCTTCTCTTCATCAAGGTGAGTGATGATCTTCAATGTTGACACGTGGCAAGTGATAATTTGCCTCCGCTAGATAAATACAAAATATTTTAAAATTATAAAGGTTTTATATTTAATAAGTAATTCGTGCTCCCCTAAAAGCACTTCACTTGAAAGAAGAAACAACTTAATTTTTTAAGTACAAAAATAAAATAAAAATCTTTATAATCTTTTTAAGTTAATTGTTTTTTCTTTTAAATGATTTAGATCATTTTTTAAATAATAAATTGCAATATAATACATATGCTCATTGCTACTCTAAATACAGTAATTGTATGGATGATGTAATGGTTTCTTTTAATAATCTAAATTTTATATAGTTATTTACAAAATTATTTATTTAATGGAACCGCCCATCCAATATGACAAAAGTACTGCAACGAACAGAATAATAATATAATTTTATTATTACTATTTTTTTAACTTTTAAATTTTGGGATGCGTTGACATGTCTCAGCCTTTTTTAGAATTTTCCATTTAATAATGAATTTACAACTGGAATATAACTTTTTTTTTTTTAAAAAAAAACCCCATTTATGAAGTAAATATATATTTGAAGTAGTCAATGACTAAATTTTAGAACGTACGTGTCACATCATGCTTTTAATAATAGTGTAATAGACCAATGTTTTTGTGTCCATCTAAGAAAAAAGGCAATTTTTTATTAAAAAAATTTTATTTATCAACTGAAAAAAAATATATACTTTAATTAAATCCAACCAAAAACATCCAAAGCCATTAGAATAATAGGGTAATTGTACTGGGTACCAAAATGATTAGGTATTTCAAAAAACGTCACCGGCTTTTGAGATATTCAAATATAGCAAAATATTTGAATTTTTATTTTCGAAATTTTTATTATTTCAATTTTATCCTTATGATATATGATATACATCGAATATAGATCATATATAGCAGACATATATTGGATATATATCAAATACAGATATACATTCGATGTATCTCTGATATACTCCCAATATACATCTGACGTACTCCTTATATACATTATCAGGTACATTATCAGATGTACCTGCGATATACTTTATTATATGTATGTATTATACTTCTAATTAATATATATATATATATATATACTAAATATAAGGTATATCAGTTGTTTAAATTCTAGTTTATCATTGCAATTTGTTGGTTGATATACTAATATTATCAATAATATTGGTTACTATATCACTATTATTTATTATATAATAATATTAATTAGATACTAAATATAAGATATATAAATTATTTAAATTTATAAAGTATATCAGATTTTTAATTAGTGGTAAATCATAAATTGTATATAAGAAATTAGATCAGTGGTATATCATTTGTATATCAATGATAAATTATATACATATCAAGTATATATCACATATATATAAATGTTGTATCGGCATGGTAAATCAATGATTATCACACGTATATCAGTGGTAAGTCATATTAGAAGTTCAGTAGATATCATAATTATATCATAAGTAAATCAATTGTACATCATTATTATATCAGTGGTATATCAGAGACATATATCACTAGTCAGATATATTGCAGATATATTACAGATGTATATCAGATATATTTTGAGGGTAAAATTTTGCAACGGCCGCTAATAAGTATCTAGTAGATTTATTTATAGGAATATCCATTTTCCTTACGAGAACCGATCTATGGAGGCTCACCTAAACTGAGTGGACAATCCTGTTAGTTGGACATCCAATTGCTTCGATTTGAATTATATATAAARAAGATGGACRAATTACTCCCAGGGTGGGGATAAGAGAAGTTTTTTCGGCCACACTTCACTTTTTTCACACTTATATATATAACAATCTTATTATTCTCTTTTTTATATACACATACTAAAAAGACTATATATTGGGATTAAACCGTAAGCAAACTTTGTCATTAGAAATTAAGTCATAAATTAGAAATTTCTTTAGAAAAAATATTTAACCTAGAAACAATTTTAAAAAATAAAAAAAATAAAACAGGGGGAATTCCTCGTTAGGATCCCTGCTAATTTCCTACGGGAAATCCCTACCCTGACAGTGACAAAATTTTTGAGAAATTTAACAGGAATAAAGAATTAAAGGGAGGGCCAGGAAGTCTTCACTTCCCCCACCTGCAACCATAGTTATAAACATATTCTTTAAAAATTTTAAATTACAAATTAAACTCTATAATTAAATTATGTACTTCCAATTTTGATTTTAGTTAAACTCTTATTTTTAACCCAATTACTTAAATAGAATTAGAATCAAAATAAAACTTCTAACAATATCGTTGAAACTATGGATCTAATAGATATTCCAAGAGTCTAATGATTGAAGAGTTCTTGATGAAAACATAAAAGTTCAGAAATAAAAATAAGATTTAAACTAAATAAATAAGTGATTTTTATAGAACACAATGTCACCTATTAAACTATATATAAATTTCACTTTTTTGCACTTTTTAGAATTGTGTCATTTAAATTCTTATATTTCAAAATTCTGTAATATATGTTTAATAGTTCTGTATTTGTGTACTGAAAAAATAAATTCTCTTTCGGAAGTCAATAATGGGACCTTTATACAATTTTTAGTTACACAATTACAAAGTGGGAGATTGAACCATCGACTTTTGAGATGATACTAAATGCATTATCCATTATGCTCGAATTGGAACTCATTAAAGTACAAAAATTAAGGGTATGTTTGAGAGTTATTTTGGATGGTCAAAATCACTTTTGCTATTGTCAAAATCGTTTCTTTTTGTATTGATATGGTTGGCAAATTAAAAAATTGATTTTAAGAAAGTTTAAAACCAATTTTAAAAAATAAATTATAAAAATCATGTATTCTACCATCACTCTCAACCATACCTTGAGTACAATTTAGAGTGGTCACCTGCTTAAGATTAAATATCTCTAAACAATATTTCTTACAACTTTACGAGGAGAGCAATTTTGTGGCTCACAATTCGGGCAAAATTTGGCATTGGAGAGAGAGTTCGATGAACGTGGTTGAAGACTATTCGCATTTGCAAGAAGTTCTTTCGAGTTTATGATTCCTATTGTGTAATGTGTAATAGGGTAAATAGTTGTCCTACGAGATTAACAACAATCCAAGACGTTTGAACGGAAATGAAAAACCAAAAGATGAGAGAAAAAGAAAAAAAATAGAATGGGAAGGTCTAAGGTGGACTTGGTCCACAGAAGATCATTTAGTACACACAATAAGAACAGTAGAATACAACCAAATGCCCTCTCAAAACTCCATCAAGAAAACGGATAGTAAACAAAATGGCATGTTAGAGAGAGAATCTTCTTCTTCTTCCCTTTGATTTTCTCTCCAGCCGTGTTAATGGCGGCCCTGGTTTTAGTTGCTTGGTTGGTGGGAAGGAATAAATGTTGCAATGCAGAATCAAGGCCCTACCCACTGCTCCCCAATAAACACTCTCTGGGTTTCCCTTCTTAATTCCTCTTTCAATTTTCAGAAATCAAAGAGAGAGAGAGAAGAGAAGACAAGAGAAGAGAGAGATTTTCCCTCATGCACGTGCTTCTGCAACTTCAATTGGGTGCCAACCAACCGCTCAAAACTTTACAGGTTTTTCCCCATTCAATTTCACTTCATTAATTAATTTCTTCCCCTCTTTCTCTCTTGCTTTCTTTCAATCCAAGGCAGTGCATCAATGGCGTACTGCTTCTTCTTCTCTCCCTCCCCATCTCTGGATCTTCATTTTCACGCTTCTCTGAGAAAACCCTGATGGGAATTTGAAGCAGAAGCGGATTCAAAGCTCTGGGTACTTCAGTTTCTACTTGCATTTCTAGTTTTTGATCTGTAAATGCGATTGGATTTGTCTTTTTTTCTTCAGGGTTTTGTGCGATTTAGRTGGTAAATGTTTGTAGTCTTTGGATTATCTGTAAGACCCAGATCGTTAAATTGATCCAGAATCGGATTCCCCCAAAATGCCAAATGGATAGGTAGAGTAGACCTTGAACTCCTCGAGCATGAGAAGGGTTCGTTGGCTTCTTCTTTCTCATGCTCTTCTGTTCTTGGTTGCATTTCTCGTTGGGAATTCCTCCGCCGCCACTGAGAAGGACATTCTACTGCAATTCAGAGATGGGATTTCGGAGGATCCGTTTGATTTATTGAAAAATTGGATCGCCGGCGAGGATCATTGCCGGAATTACACCGGCGTGTTCTGCAACTCCGATGGGTTTGTGGAGAAGATTGTTCTATGGAACTCCAGCTTGGCTGGAATCTTATCCCCTGCCTTGTCCGGATTGAAGTCTCTGAGAACTTTGACATTATATGGAAATAGATTTACTGGTAATATTCCGATTGAATATGCTGCCATTCTTACACTGTGGAAGCTGAACTTGAGCTCCAATGCTCTGTCTGGTTCGGTCCCGGAGTTCATCGGCGATTTGCCGAGCATTCGGTTTCTGGATTTGTCTAGAAATAGCTTCACTGGGGAGATTCCTTCCGCTTTGTTCAAGAATTGTGGTAAAACTAGATTTGTTTCATTTTCTCACAACAGATTTTCAGGTGTGATACCGTCAACAATTTTGAACTGTTTGAGTCTTGAAGGATTTGATTTCTCAAACAATGATCTAAGTGGGAGCATCCCTTTGCAACTTTGTAATAAGATTCAAAGATTAGAGTATGTTTCTGTGAGAAGCAATGCACTGACTGGGAGTGTTCAAGGGCAGTTCTCAGCTTGCCAGAGCTTGAAACTTTTGGATCTGAGTAGCAACTCGTTCGCTGGGTCGCCACCGTTCGAGGTTCTCGGGTTTAAGAACGCCACTTATTTTAACGTCTCGTATAACGGGTTTAATGGGGGAATTGGAGAGGTTGTGGCTTGTGGTGATAAACTGGAAGTTGTTGATGTTTCAGGGAATGGCTTGGATGGGGAGATCCCATTGAGCATTTCAAAATGTGGGAGTCTTAAGATCTTGGATTTGGAAAATAACAATCTCAGTGGGGAGATTCCTGTTGAACTTGCAGCTTTGAAAGAGCTTTTGGTGATTCGGTTGGGTAATAATTCGATCACCGGGACGGTTCCAGCTGCTTTCGGGAACATTGAGCTGCTTCAGGTTTTGAATTTGCATAAACTCAAACTTGTTGGTGAGATTCCTGATGATATAACCAACTGCAGGTTTCTTCTTGAGCTGTAAGTCCTAAAAATAACCTTAGAAACAACATTGTTTTTTGTTCATCCTTTCTTGTGTAAACTTCAACTTGACTTCMTTTGGATGGCATTTTCTGTAGGGATATTTCTGGTAATGCATTGGAAGGGGGAATTCCTAAATCTCTTAACAATATGACATACCTTGAAATTCTTGATCTACATGATAACCGTCTGAACGGAAGCATTCCATCGACGCTTGGGAGCCTGTCGAAACTCCAGTTTCTTAATCTATCTCATAACCTGCTGTCTGGTTCAATACCACCTACTTTTGAAAATCTGACAATGCTGAACCATTTCAATGTCTCTTTCAATAACCTTTCGGGCGCTATACCTCCCGTGAAGAAGATCCAAGATTTCGGGCCTTCTGCATTCTCAAACAATCCTCTGCTCTGTGGTGCTCCCTTGGATCCTTGCTCTGGAAACAACACCACTGRCACGACTTCTGCATTGAAGAAGTCAAAGGTTCTTAGTCCATCTGCAATCATCGCAATCGTAGCAGCAGTTGTGATCCTGGTTGGGGTTTGCGTGATATCCATCTTGAACCTAATGGCTCGGACGAGGAAGGCGAGGAGTACCGAAATCATTGAGAGCACACCACTCGGTTCAACCGAGTCAGGTGTCATAATTGGGAAACTGGTTCTGTTTAGCAAAACTTTGCCATCGAAGTATGAAGACTGGGAGGCTGGCACGAAAGCTTTGCTCGACAAGGAATGTCTAATTGGGGGTGGCTCAATCGGCACCGTCTACAAGACGAGTTTCGAAGGCGGAATCTCCATCGCCGTGAAGAAGCTGGAGACTCTAGGGAGGATCAGAAGCCAAGATGAGTTCGAGACCGAAATCGGACGTTTGGGAAACATTAAACACCRGAACTTAGTCGCATTTCAGGGGTACTATTGGTCCTCATCAATGCAGTTGATTCTATCCGAATTTGTCTCGAACGGCAATCTGTACGACAATCTACATGGTCTGAGTTTTCCAGGTACCAGCACAGGCATTGGCAATACAGAGTTACATTGGTCTAGGAGATACCAAATTGCACTTGGAACAGCTAGAGCTCTTGCTTATCTTCACCATGATTGCAGGCCTCCAATTCTTCACCTCAACATGAAATCAACTAACATACTGTTAGACGAAAACTACGAAGCCAAGTTATCCGATTACGGGTTGGGGAAGTTGCTTCCCGTTTTGGACAATTACGTCTTAACCAAGTACCATACTGCTGTAGGCTACGTCGCACCAGAGTTGGCGCAGAGTTTGAGAGTTAGTGAAAAATGCGACGTCTATAGTTTCGGAGTGATTCTACTAGAGTTGGTAACAGGAAGGAAGCCAGTTGAGAGTCCTAGAGCAAACCAGGTAGTGATCTTGTGTGAATATGTAAGGGAGTTATTGGAAAGGGGTTCTGCCTCGGACTGTTTCGACCGAAACTTGCGTGGCATTGCTGAAAACGAGCTCATTCAAGTGATGAAGTTGGGGTTGATTTGTACATCTGAGATCCCTTCGAAGAGACCGAGCATGGCYGAGGTTGTTCAAGTTCTCGAGTCGATAAGAAATGGATTAGGATCGTAGGAATAGCGTTTTCGGGGTAGAGAGATCTAAAGAATGACAGTACCAGAAGCTGATCAGGATTTTAGCTGAGAAGAGAAGAGAAGACAGTTTGGGAGTTTTTTCTCAATTTTCCTTGGTTTAAGAGGATTCTTTTGTATTCTTTTTTCTTTCATTTTGTGATTAACATCATCGATCGGTCGCTCGTTCGTTCGTTCGTGCAAGATTGTAATTTTCGAACAATAAAATTCTTTATTTATTGCACTCAGATGGCTCATTCATCTTTCATAACTCTTTGTAACCTACTGTTAGTTTAAGCAGAAGCTTACACATTTGTTTACAGAAATAACAGCATTTAGTATCAAAGTGCCAAAAGGAGAGAGTTTACCTTCTTCACAAAGCTTAAAAGGGATGAATAAGATGAGTCTTGCATTAGTTCATCATTAAAGTACTTTTCAGATCTTTGTAATTTCTAAATCTCTATTTTGGTTTATGTATTTTTGTCTATTTTGATCTATGTATTTTTATAGGGTGACTATTTTGGTCTTTTAATTTTTTTTTATTTGTTATAATTTCAATATGACACTACACTTMATTTCTTGAAAATATAGTTATATATTTACATTGAAGAGTTTTCCTGTATTAAATTTGTGTTAAAAATTTACAAATAGGGACTACRTCACAGTGCCAAGCAGTTAGGGACTGTTTGATTGAAGGTTGTGAAAGTGGGAATAGGCTTGACATATAAAACCCATATTTGATTGGACAATTAAAATTTATTTGTCCCGAAAAGTATTCCCAGCACGACAATAAATCCCGTGGAAAAAGATGAGTTTATTGAAAACCCTTTCTTTCTTATGAAATCATAATTCTCTCTTGATTGTTGCATAACTTCCCAGTACTTTTGTCACTTTCATTAAGTTTCTTCTTCCTAGGTGAATCATTTTTACATTGTTATTTTTTAACGTCTCTTCTTCTATTCTTTTCCTGTGTTCTTTYGGTTATTTTAGGTAAAAGAAAATAGAAGATTTTTTTTGGTCTTCTTGCGATAATATGAATGTGACGAAAATGATTAATTTTATATATGTTTAGTGGTCACTGATACAGATTCTATTTTATTTATGAAATATAACATTGATTATTAATTCTTCAATTTGATTATTGTACTCATTAATTATAATTAAAAGATTCTAAATAAAATTGTTAAATAACTTTTTTTAAAATGATCTAAAAAATAAAATTTATCCCTTAACAAAAATTATTAAATATTTGTATAAAATCGATGATTTAAAGTATTAAATAATCTGGAAATTTATTATTTTTTTCTAAATTTAACTTAGAAGTTGTGTTTTATATATTATGTAATATTTAATTACATAATATGAAAACATAAATACGTCTGTTTTTTTTAGGCCGCCTGGTAATATTCTTGCTTTAATTTTTTGTTTCTAATTTTTGAGAAACATAAACTTCATGTTGCTCGTTTTTCATTTATAAGAATGTTTCTAAAATTGTGTACAAATTTTGGAAACAACAAAATTAAGTTTTTAATTTATTGTTCCTATTTTCATTTTTTCCGAAGCATAGATAAAAGCATTAGTTTATCACTTTTAATTTATAAAATGCACAATAAATATAACATAAATTTTTTTTTTAAATATTTAATTTGAAAACAGTTACCCAAACGAAATTATATTTTTCTTGATTGAAAAATAAGAAATAATAAACAAGAAATAAGAATGCTACCAAAAATTAGAAATGGTAAAATAATGTTATCTCTTTTTCTTATTCCTATTTTTAGTTTTTTGAAAACATAAATGAAAAAATATTTTACCATTTTTTACTTGTAAAATGCATAATAAATATTAAAATATATATATAACGTAACAATTTGAATATGTAAGATAAAAAAATTAATTTTCTATATAAAAAATCTTTTTTAATTTAAAATTTTAGAAAATGAGAAATAAAAAATGGTTACCAAACATATTTTTATTTTTTATTTAAATAAAAATTTAAAAAAAGAAACACGAAACAGTTACGAGTTGTGTGTTTTATTTATTGAAAAAGAAGAAACGAAAAACAACAAATAATAAGTAAAAAATAAAAACGTTACTAAACGAGTTCTAATATAGTTATGAAGTTTGGATAAGATGACCCATGACCCAAATTCAATAGAAATTGGACACATAACCCACCCATATTTAGTTGGGCTTACAAATATATGAAATGATCCTAATCTTTTAAATGAGAAAAAATCTCTTTAATAAGTCATTTTAAAAATTATATTGCTTAAGTTTTCACATTTTTAGATTTCAAAGTTTTACTAGTCTTGCCTTTAATTATTACTATTTTATTTGATTAAATTTATCTTTTATTTAAATGATTAGATTAGATTTTATCTTTTTTTTTCTATATTTGGATTTCACGACCCAATCTAAAAAATCTCATATTTTTCTCATATCACTTATCAATATAAAATCCTTCCTTTTTGTAATCATCATTTAAAAAATTCATTTTCTCACCACAGTGTAATAAACTTATACTGTAACTTTTGGTGGTATATACTCAAATATTAGGCTTGAAATATTGTGTCATACATCCTAACAAGATTTTTATGATTTAGAAAAAAAAAAATCAATGAAAAACTGTAGTATTTTACGTGGACATGGTGGTATCTGAGGGATTTTAGTTTTCAAATTAGTGATTTTAAGAATTTTAAAGATTTCAAAACAAAAATTATGGCAACCGTCAAAATTCTAAATTTATTCCATATTTGATTTGATTTTTTTATCCTTATTAACATATATTATAAAAGGCTATGAGTAATTTTCCAAATGGATTTCACGTATAACTTGTTAATCTTTAGACAATAATGTGAAATGTTAAAAAGTTAAGCTAAATGTAAATTTGAATCCTAAAATAGGCTAGTTGTGTATTAATCCCTTTAAATAATTCTCAACAATTCTTAATCTTTTAAGATTTTCACTGCGATATATTAAAATTCTCACCTGAGGACTTTTCTTAAAAGTTACATATTTAAATATGTTAGTTAAATTCTCTTTGACGTTTCAAATCCAATTTGCTCACTCACAAAATATGACGGATTCATAAAAAAGGTCCATTACTTTACGGTGGCATGTTCAAATGGAATGTTCATGTGTCCAAATATATTAACAAAATAATAATTTAATAACATTTAACAAATTATTTTTTTTATAAAATAACTTAATTGAGAATTTTAAATACACGACTAAAATTAAGAGTTTTTAAAAATCGACCTAAAAGATTAGGGACGATTTGATATACTTAGACTAAAAAAAAGTATACAGTAAGCTGATTTGCCTAAGATTAGCTTTTCACTCGTTCTAGGGCTTAGGTAAGATTTCGCAATTTATGCAAAATCAATCCAAGTTGAATGAATATAATTATTTATGTAAATTATAATTATATAAATACATTTTTATATATTTACTAGAAATGGTCTCTAATATATCATATAGGATATTCCACCCTTTTTTTTCTAATTAATATTTACAAATCTAGATTTTAGATTTAAATAAATTTGTTTTTCTATTTTGTTTTTTCAAATTGCTTTACTTATTCCATTACATTTATTATTAAATTTAAAAATGTATTCTTTCCAAATGAGAATGGACAGTTATTTAATACATTAATGTTTAAATGATAATATTTTAATAAATAATTAAATAAATATGGTAACTAATCAATACATTTATTATTGCTTAATTTTCTACAGTTCATTTTAAAATTTTTCTCGGTGTATATTATTTGTTTCCCACGTTCTTTTTAAACTTTCGGTTGTTTTTTAGTTTCTCCAACTTACAACGGCGGCCATACCATTTTTTGTGGATTTGATTTTGTTCGACAGCTCGTTACTTTTCCAACGGGTTGCACCGTCGTGGGTGTTGCCATTTCTGCAGATCGTTGATAGTCGTCGAAGGAGTGAACCCGCCACTGGTTCCCCGTTGCAAGTCATCAGCTGTTGCTAAGGTGCAAAGTATGTGTCAATCATGTGATGCTTGTGGAGAAGCCGCACCATCGTCGTACCAAGGATTGTCGGAAGACGCCGGTTGTCGCTGGAGCAAAGGTGGTTGACGGTTGAAAAAACTAAGATTTCGTACCCATGGAGATAATTGTCCTATCTTATATATCCATGATCACCTCTTTCGCTAGCAAACGTGAGACTTTATTAGACTAGACTAAGGTGGGAGAGAGATGAGAGATGGCTTATGATTTCTTAAATTTGGTTTTGCCTTCTTTGTTATTTGTTTATTTATTAATTAAAAACATATGAATATGAGTAGGTGATAATTTTTACATGGGCATGTGGCCCTCTATTTTGATACATCTCTAAATATTAGAGTTTTTAGACCCTAAAAATGGTCATTTTTACATAAATAAATTTTATTTATGATCCCTAAAATGTCTTCCCTCGATCCATAACCATACTCTAACCCACGAAGGATTCCTTAATTAAGGGTTAAATTATTAGTAGGGGAATACAAGTTTAGATGTTCCGCTCTCAATTTTGTATCTAATAAGTTCTTAAAATAGGTATAAAATTTAATTTTTGTGTTTAATGGTAAGACAACAAGTGAATAAGGTTTCAAATCCGATATAGGAGAAAAAATCCATTGACCCCATCAGGTATTTTTTTTGAAGATTTTACGATTGATTGGTGTAACAATTATTTATTAGACACAATTCTAGAAGGTCACCGACTAAACTTGTATTTTAATAAAGAAAATATTTAAACTCCATTTTGATTCTTGAACTTTTTAAACTCCGTTCTATTTTGGTTGCAAAACTTCAAGATATCTATTTTAGTTTATAAATTTAAAAAATAATTATTTTAATCCCGACCTTTAAAAAATAACTATTCTAGTCGTTACTATATCTTATCAACTCGATACCAATATATACCCACACGTTAAAATGTTAAAAAGTTAAGTTATCTTCTAATCTTTTAATTGAAAATATATATAACCATTAGGAAATCGATTTTTATTTTCTTAAATTTTGCTTGAGTGGAGGGCACAAACGATGAATCACCTTCAAATCCTATCTAAATTTAAAGTTTAGACGAAACAGATGCAATCCTCAAGAAATTTATAATCAAACCTATGTTTATGATAAATCACCTCATTTCCAAATCCTCTTCCACATTTCTAAGAAGTCGAAAAAATTTATGATTTTTCAATTCTTACGTGGTCTATTCCCCTTTAAAACTGTCAACTCGC